AAAGCTAAAATTTCACAGCCTTCACTAAAGCACCATTCATTCGTGAACGTATTCTTAGTTTCATTAATAATTAAGTTAGTGTGGGAGAAAGGCAAGATTTCGTGATAAACAAGCCAGCGAAAGGGTAAAAATGCAGTTTCACGGCAAATGGATACTTAATTAACCACTGTGTTCCCGAAACGATTTAATTCGATTTTAGAGTTATACTGTTGAGAAGAATTAAATATCTATAGGATAACTGTTTAAACGAAGACTTATCATACTGAACTTTTCCTTGTGCTCAAAAAATGTGCGCGAAAATTAAGGTCGTAACAACATTCAGCCGCCATCTTGTCTTCCATGTACTGTTTTACCAAAGGAAAGACTGTCCTCTCAAGGGCGACAGGGAGGAAACTCACTTTCATCGTAGAAATGCCTCGATACCTTAACGAACACGTTTGTGGAACGCAGCACCCAATATATGTCATTCAGTTCCAGAGAATAGCTTGCAAATGCTGGTGGTGAACATGAACAACTAAGTGAAAGTGCCTCAGAGGTATTTCAACAGACCATGTTGACGCATGCGCATACAAAATGCCCTCCTGTTACTTATTAGTATTTTCAAGCATAAGAAAAGAAAGGAGGTTTGTATCAAAGCAAGGTCACCCTTAGCCTCACATTCACTGGAAGGCTGGGGGGGTATTAAGCCCACAACTGTAAAATGGTCTATTCAGATCATACTCAGCCTCATTCAAAAATTGCTAAATGTGACTATTGCTCAAATTATTTAGTGGAAGTACTCTTGAATTTTAACATAACTACAACCAAGTAATGTTCTTGTGTAGCAACGTACAGTGTGACAGGAAAGCAGGGCTCTTAATCTTTCATATGGATGGTCACAGGATTTTGATAAGGAAAGGAATAATTCAAACTGATTGTGTTGCCAATTCATTAACTCAGGTACATCTAAGGGACATTGTTTGCAGCGTAATCGGCAGTTTGGATAGTCCGATGACACCTTCCGGCTGCACTTTAAATGTCGGACAGCGGCAGCTTGTATACCTGGCACGTGCTATCCTTAAAAACAACAGGATTGTTGTCTTGGAAACGGCTGATTTGGATCACAGGTACGCTGGCTGCTAAGCACACAACCCCACTCTTCTATTTTATGTTACCATGAAACTTTGATAATAGGGCTACATAAGGGCCAAAAGAATTTAGCCTTATAAACAAGGTCGCCATGTTCATGTTTTATGGTTGGTTTCTGTCGTCTTTTTTATTGTAGTGGTGCTATAACAATTCTTACTTTGTAAAGGCAATGGCCATTTTATGAGTAATTAATTGGACATTACACACTTGGAGTTAAAAGAGAAGGTTTTATTCCTGTTTGTCACTTGACCATCCTTTGATATGCATATTTGCTCTGAATGGCCGTATTATCGAGTTGGCTGTATTAACGGTGCTTGTTTGCCTTCGTCCTTATTAAGTATGCACGACTTTTGCGCCAGCATCTAGTGAACCAGAACTGGAACAATTTGTTGGAGTTACGGCTCAGTGATTTTAAGTCGCAAGCGAGTTAGCGCTAATTTCTTAGATAACATGAATCAACCAATAAATAATTTTCTTAAAATTTTAGTCAAGCAACCAAGACATTCATCGACCTGGAAATAACAAGAAAACCTTAATTAAACCGCCTAAAAATAGTACATGACCTTGTCTCAATTAGATTCCACCGCATTTTATTAATGACGTAAAAGAAAGGCTCTGACGTCATCGGCGTTAACGTATGAGACTTTTCCCTCCTCAAAAGAAATGGTGTAGCCGGTCCCTACTATACTACTTTCCACTGGTTTCTGTACCTACGCCTTTGGGAGGAATTTATACCTTTAGCTAAACAAGGTTAAATAGCTGTGTTAAAGTGGTCACACAAAAGTCAATAACATGAAGGCGGCTGAATAACAGGTTCAAATTAATTTCTTTTAGAACTGATACGATGATTCAAGAAACAATCAGAAGTAAATTCAAGAACTGTACTGTTCTTATATCGGCTAACAGGTTGCAAGCCGTCATCGACTGCGACCGTGTTATGGTAAGTTGTGGGGTAGACCCCAAGCCGAGTTGTGGACTTTTCTTATTGTGTTCTTCAGAGTTTTGGTGTTTTCCTTAGTATTTCCCCACCTCCAAGAGATGTGTTTGTAAGAAAGAACCCGCCTGGTCCCCAGGATATGACGAGTGCAGTCCGAAAAACACCTGACAAGACTTGACGAGCCAAACGTTCTTGTGGTATTTCACAAGATAGCAAGCTTCTCGGATGCGTCTTATTCGAAGTCGATGACAAAGAACGTCTAATTTAGTTGCAGTTTTGCTTCCAACACAACGTTTTTCTTCTTAGGGTTGGACCTACACCAGCGCACGCTTATTCTTGTAAAATAAACGGTCTGCAGAAATTCCTGCAATTTCTATCCTCTCTTGCTGCAACTAAATTTGTTCCATTAAAAAGATCTTTCAACCTTCTCACCCTAAAATGCAGTGGAGAAAACAGCTCGTTCCAGTCCCTTCATTGAATCATGAAACTTTCTACATGTCCACAAGTGCAATACACATTCTCTCCTTAACGGAAGCAAAATTCTCACACACGTTTTGTATGTTGACTAGTCATAATCTTAGCCCAAAAACATTTTCTTACCTTAAGACATATTATTTCCCCAGATTCCCCTACCTCACCTGTGGCCCTCGGTCCGGTCCCCCTTTTGGAAATCCGATAACAAGTTTATTAATGTCTGTGACACTTATGTTTATTAATGTCTGTGATACTCATGTGGAATATCTTTGTTTGTTTTTGCTGTTCACTGTGTTAGCTAAAAGTTATATACCTCTTCTTTAGGTTCTTGACAATGGCCAACTGAAAGAGTTTGAAGAACCTCATTTGCTGCTGCTAAATAGGTTGAGTTTTTTCTCTCGTCTCGTTGAAAAAACTGGCACCATAAACGCGTTACAATTGAGGAAAGCTGCCCGAAAAGCTTATGAACTTAGACATGATTCAGAAAATACATTGGACATTATACCAGACTCCGTCAGGAGTTTCCTCTCCTCCTATATACCCGTCTCTGGATACACTGATTTACAACTTGTGTCTTACGTATAATGGTGGTTTGGCTATAAAGACGCAGCTTATTAAAACGCAGAATTCGAGAGGTAAAAGTTTAACCAATAACTATTTAGACGTAATTAACAAGTAGAATCAACTAGAAAAAGTGGTTTCGGTGTCGAAACAAGACCTGCAGTCTCACTCAAAACGTGCTTTCTACTCTCTATTTCGCTAGTTTTGCGAACGCTACTACAATCTTGCAGAGTATTTTAGCTACCTTTACATTTCTCTTGTAGTTTTTACCTTTCATATTATGATGATCAACATTTACTTACCTCCTCTAAGGTCCAAAGAATAGCTGTGTATCAGTCATTTTGTATGGTAACACAAAAACACTGCAAAATGTCTACTCTTCCTTTTGCTCTTTTCGTTATTAAAAATAATAATAATAAAGGTCTTTATTAATCATTCATTACACAAACAGACGTGCAACAATTTACATGGCAAGAAAATGAATAAAGGAAAGCGAAAAAATACATTACGAAATCGATTAAATAAATATTAGTTACTATTAAAAAGACATCTATTTATAAAAACTGATTTAAAACGACTTGTCCCAGCATTAGGTAGAATATAATTATGCGACCTAGTTCTCATCTGCCGTGTTCTCTGGAGAGGTAAAAGATCGCTCAACGCAGTGTTGGTGGAAGAGAGATCCATAACTGCACATCTTTATTACGACGAATGTCCAAGATACTGTACTGCTCTAAACAGTAACTTAACTTATAACACCTAGCGAAGAGCTTAGCAATTCTACTTAAATATTTATTATAAAAAGTGCACCCCAGACCTCAATAGTATATGTGAAGACTGAAAGGATCAAACTTTGAAAAAGTAAGTCCAAATTCTCAATAAAGTACCCATAATATTTACATATTCTTATAATATACAACCTACTGCTAATCTTACTAAGTAAATAATCAATATGGCACTTACTCAAATGTAACGTCCAAAAGATTCAGTTTCTCTTTCCTCCCTTTGATCTCTAGTGGTCCAGGAGGCGTCCTGGTAGTCCTTCCTCTTAAAAGAAGTTCCCATGTTTTTGTCAAGTTAACTTTCATGCAGTTGTTCTCAGACCATTCAATAAAGGACAGGACTTACAGTAAATATGGCACTTTTATTTATAATATATTCAGAAGAAAAATGTTTGTAAAGTGACGTCACAATTTAGGAGTAAGAATCTTTGTACTAACAAAAACATTTTTTGTAATAAACATAGAAATGTAAGTGGCAGAAAGTCGTGGGAGTAGGTTGACGGGGGGGGGGGTGGGGTGCGGGCACTCAAGGGAAGTTTGGGTTGAGGTGTGCCGCCGAGGCCTTCAAACCCAGACCCAAACAAAAATTGTTCATTTCGCTACCCTGTTTAAGACAGGAGACACTACTTTCTGACTCTGATTTTCTTTGTTTTGCATACAGAAATATGTAAAAAATTATTGGTATTGCAAATGTAGACCGCTCATCGCAAGTCTTCACATTCTTTGAATGGCTTCCAGTCCAAAAAGACACCCTGTTCAAGACCCTTAATTATAACTAGGAGTAATCGGAGCTTAGGCACAGGAAAAAATAACGGATTACCATTTTTGGATATTTTAGGATATTTAAAGAATACCCATAAAAATCCCAAATTTGGCAAAGTGAGACGAGTCCCAACCAGGGAATTCCCAACCAAGTTCCCTGATTGGGACTTGTCTCACTCTTCCAAATTTGGGATTTTTGTGGGTATTCTTTAAATACCCTAAAATATCCAAAAATGGAAATCCGTTATTTTTTCCTGTGAGGAGAGTGCGTTCTATATGTTTGTTAGTAGTCTGCGTAGAAGGCGCTTGGAAGTAGTGGGCGAAAGAGAGAACGGGCGCGCGCGAGGTAGACACGCGAGGGGTGAGGGTGTCTCCTTCTCGCGCGCCCGTTTTTTCTTGTGCCCACTACTTCCAAGCGCCTGCTACGCAGGTTAGTTTGTTAGGCGCACAGATAGCAGTTGAGGCGGAAGGGTGGTTGCGATATAGATAAATATGATTATGGCATATTTTGAACTTGAGGGTTGCGTACAGCGAAACCTTTAAAGTGTGTATCATTATAAGAACGTTTTCAAAAGTTATCGTATGGTTCGGTGTCGAGTGCTTGTAATCGGAGGAGACATTGGCCAGAGTGCGTCGGGTGAGTTACAGGGCGCAGTTGCTCAAAGGCCGATTAGTGCTTAACCCGGGATTCTTTTTCTTTCTTTAAAAACATTTATTCGGATAATTTTCTCTGTTATTTTTAAGAGCATCCAATCATCAACTTGTTGAGAAAATGAATTACATTGAATTTACTGTTTTAAAAGCTTTCACATTTCAATTAAAACTTCGCCCCTATCAAAGCCTTCAATGGAACGTGTGTGCGGCTCACGTCAATAACTTTTCCAGTAATTCGGTCGAGCGTGTTGATTTCAGTGACTCGAGAGTGGCGCTACTGTGGGCTGGTATATAAGTTTTTCCTAATAAATAACATAGAGTTAAAGTGTTCGTTTGTCTTGTGCCGAAAATATCACAAGTCATGATCAAGTGGCGCCGCCGAACTTCACACCTCGGTAGATTTACTTTGTGGCACAACGGCTGCCGAGCTACACAACTCGGTAGATTTACGTTGTGACACAACGGCCGTCGAGCTACATAACTCGGTAAATTTACTTTGTGGCACAACGGCCGCCGAACTAAACCCGGTTTGATGCATGCACCAGGAGTCGCAGACATTCTCCAAAGACAGTGACGAACCATGCTGAAAAATATGAAGGCTTAATCCAAAGTAAAATTTAACAGCAAACTTCTGAGAGATGAACGCTTTGGACGATTCAGCAAACACAGATCGATGTACGCTTTACGAAGATTCAGCAAACTTTTTAAAAGATGACCGCTTTGCGAAGCTTTGACAGAATATCAGACCTCGGCAAACCTTTGAAAGATGAACGTCGAGGACACAAGAATTACCTCATGAGTTAGCGCGTCAAAGTGAGGCAAAACGTAAGCAAGCGCCTCAAAGCGAAGCAAATGTGTGTCGACGACGACGACGAAAATGCAATCTCAAAAAAACCTCCCTTATTAATTGCACAGGACACCCAATAATGCACAGAACACTCAACACAACTTAGGGGTTGCATTCTCGTACCTCGAACGCAATAATAGTGAAATTGTATACCCTGTTTAAGACTCAAGACCTTGAAAACCATACCTTGTTCAGCGGCACATACCCGTATAGGCCGAATAAGGGAGTGCCCCCCCGGGTAAGTTGAGTATATTTAAGTATGTACTGGATGATATTCTCGTACTAGTAATTAACAGAGTTGTTTGAGATCATCCTGATTTTATGGTTGAATCTGTTGGTACACGTTTTTGCGACATTGTGTTGCTCTTCCTCGGCTGAATATAAAACTTACAAATTAAACCGCAGCAATACATAAGGATATACATATTGTAATAATGACGTTCAAGTAATGTCATGTTTTCAGTGATTATTTCTGGGTGGAATGCATTCTGATTGTAATGCTTCCTCACATTGATAAAAAGCAACGACGAAAGCCTTGATTTAACTTGCTAGCACAATCTTTGCTGAGCATGAAAGGGTGTGAACCAAAACGGAACTGTTACTGTAGTTATTACTTTATTTACCCACACTCTACCTACAAAAGCTCATTTTCACTTTCTAATAGACCTCTTTCATACTTTATTGCTCTTTATATTCTTTTATATGTATTATAATTAGCCATTTTGACCTTGTTAGCATGTGCAAAATACAAAAGAATTCTTACCTTCAACGACTCAGGCCAGAAGGGCTCATTCATATGCATATGAAAGAATAAATAAATGGATCACCATTTTGAAAGGTTGTTGATGATCCTTGTTGTTTATGATGTTCCAGTGCGCTAAAAGAGCGCTTTCACTTCTTGCGATCAAATTCATTTGCATAGCTGCTGGCCATATGAGTGAAAAGGCTTTGTAACGAGCGATAATCAGGCCCAAATTAATATTTCGCCGATGTTTTAGCGGCAGGAACTCGGAACTACTGTCCAATTAATTTCATTTGCTTCTTTTTGTGAATTGAACTGATTTTCGTCCTATTAACACCATGTTGCTAGCCACGATTTGTCTGTTTAACATGTTGAAACTCAACTTGACTACTTCAAACGCAGGAAAAAAATAGGTCGTAAGTCTCTAAAGAAAGTGGAAATTGAGGGTATTAGACTAACAAACGCCGGCCGGCATCCACTAGAGGTGGAATGACGGAAAATTCTGCTACCAGACTTACATTCAGATCGCCATATATTTACTGGAAAAACAAAAACAACAAGAACGGAAGTAATTCAAGCTGCATGAGAAGGGTGAAAAGCGCATTTAAGATCGTTTAATGTTACTAAGCGAGGAAAAAATACCAATATTAGCTTCCAATAGCTCTGCGTCGCAGACAGTCTTTTCGACTGCAGCGCAGGCTAGCTTTCAAAAGAACGGAAATAAAAAATATATATATATACAAAGATAAAGTCAATGTTTACTAATAGACATAGATGAAATGATCACCGAGGGACATGGAAATCATGCGTTATTATTTTTGTTACTGTCAACCAATGAGCGCCCAGAATCGTTTACAGTTTCAAATTACAAACCCTATAAATGTATAATTTTCATTTCTATAGACGAATACTTAAAATAACAAAAATAAGGAAGGTGATTTTTAAGAGGTTTAAACGTCCCAATCTCATGTCTAAATGGTCATTACAAACTTGTTAAGTCGAGAACTTCAGACATGAAGTTTTCTTTAATGGTTAAAAATGTGCGAATGACGAGATAACGTTAACTTCTCATCAGATATCGGCCGTTAATCACTGATAATGCAACCCGGTAGCTGCCTTTTTTTTTTTTTTTTTACAAAAATAAGTAGAAGATAGTGACTGCAAAAGAAATGTGTATTGAGTTTGTCGAATTCGCTTTTCTTTCATCGTTATTTTACTAATACTATATACATCATATGTGGGGTAATTTGCTTCATAGTGTTTATAACAGTGGGTGGTGTATATAGTGTAAGGTACTACTGATATTTATCTTTTAGTATTTGAATTTTTTGCGTTCACTAAAAAAAGAATACATCGTGGTTGACTTCTCTTTGATCAGGAATCCCCGATTTAATCAAGAAATGTGGGTAACATCTACTTTGTGTCAAATTCTGAATTTTACTTTCGTTGTCGAAGAAAAAGGTTTTTGAAAGGCGTTACAATTTGTAAATTATTTGGTATTGCAAACTGTGTCCGCAGCACCTGCTTGCCACCTGAAACTCCCCGATGCGAATTAAAAAAAGCAAACTCTTACTTGAAACCCAACGGAAGCGAAAACAACTTGTTTGTGCCAATATACACAGGGTTTTAACTTAACAACAATTTCACTTTGAAACTGTGAAAGGTATATACAGTCTCAGCTGATAGTTGCACGCGCATGACACGATAAGAATGTTTACAATTGACCATGCTATCTTCTTCCTTCGAAGCGCGCAATTTTAACAGTGGTTTCCAGCTACGAAGACCTACGAAGGGGAGAGATTGAATCTGATGCTGTAATCTCAGGTTAAACCGCTGTTCGTTAGCGATGCTCCTAATGTGGTTGTTTGGTTCTTTGGCTTGTTTCAAATTTGGAGTGGAAGGTAGGTTTGTGAGTGGTTTCCTATTTGTATCGCTAGTACTACCCAAGTGCAATAAAATATACTGCAGTGCAATAAATTTGCATCTTTGTTTTCATCACGGCTTTCATCACACCATCTTGAAATACATCCCTCCTTGACTTTGTCAGGACATTATCTAGGAAAAACTCGTTTTTGAGTTGGAAAAAGGGCAGGGACAAAATTAATTTGATTCCGTGTACATTTGCGAAGTAATGTGCCAATTTCAAGAGATATTTGATTTTTCTAAAGAAAAATGGGTGGAATACTTGACGAAAAACTCAGAAATAATATTAATACTCTCCAGGAAAGTTTTAGGATGGATTGGCTTTGGTATTTTTTAGAAGAAAGGGAGTTAAATTTCGTTCGTTTTCTGCTTTGAGACCAGTTAAGAAGGAGGCATAATATCGCGGGCTACAACACAGAATAACTGAAAACACCTCCTATAAACTATATAACCTAAACAATATTCTGATGAATCTAGAAAATGTACGACGCATAGAGAAAATAAAAAGTTTAGAACTAAAAAAAATATAGCAAGAAAATAGAACTTAAAAAATGAGTGCGGAAAGGTTTCAGCTGTTGACGCGAAATTTCTTTTTCGGCGGAGGAGATTTACGAAGCCAGATGATGAGGTCCTTAAAGGAAGATAAATTATGGATTGAACAAATGACTGTGCCAAAATGTAAATGAGTGTGGCGACGCTTCGGCTCCACTCGGTATGACAGATAGTATTAAATTTAAATGGCGAGATCGCGCTGCTTTCGCGGGAATCGATTAGAAGTCGTTTTTATTTTTGTACTTTTAACGTATTTCCTTCGTTCATCTGTTCTTTAAAAAAGAAATTAAAGCGACAATTTTCGGTAGTCAAAAAAGAATATTCCCTCGCATAATTACTTGGAGCAGATTTTCTTTGTTTTAATAAGGCGGAATTTATTTAAAATGAATGCATTTATGAGACCAGCTGTCATCTCAAGGCAACTGCAAGTTACTGAACTAGACCCAGAATCTGAGATCAGCTTTTATTCACATTTCACAGTACGTTTTCAATGAGGGCAGAAAATTCTTATTAAATCAGTTCTTAATCTTACCTTCTTCGTTTTACAGTAACATCACTGTCTAATGTCTATCTTTTTACTGTAGTCTCCTCTGGATATCTAATCTAAGCCAGCCGGCGGAGCCTCGTGGAGCCGGATATTGCTTTTCTTTAGAATGCCTCCAAAATGATAAACTAGTCAAATACTTGCTAACACTTTTATTTAATCAGATATTTTCCTGGTCAGCGTCCTGACGTTTCTCTGTGATAACAGCCCCAGATATGACACGCGCTCAGAAATGCTACATAATCATTTCACTGGCATGCACAAAGCCTGTTTTTAAAGTCCCGTTATCAGCAACTTATTTTAAGTTCTGATCGGTTCTAAGGAAAAAATAGTTCCAAAATTTTATCAAGCAGGCTATACAACTGTAAGTTTTAATACTCCTCCATCTCTCGAACTGCCACGGCGATATTTCGATTCATTTTCCTTTAATCATCCTTTAGAAATCAAGTTATTAAAGAGTTCAACAGGCAAACAAACCGATAGCTATTGTGGTTCGAGTAAGCAAACAGTTCGATCCGCATGGATAAGCTAAGATAGATAGAGGGGTATACATGTTGCTGCTTGGGTAACCTTTAAAACACTTAATTAAGTTACGTACAGTTAAAGCAAAAAAAGCAAAAAAAATGTATTGGAATTTTCAACTTGTATTTAATAATGAGTACTTTTGAAAAAACACTTGCTCGGTATCTAGTTGGTTTGGTTATCAGCGTTCTCTACGTTTGATAGCGCAATTTTATATAGAATTGCATCTGAACAGGAAAAAACTTGGTGATTAAGTAAGCAAACAAAAAAGCAAAATGAAATAATATTGTAACTACACCAACAATAGGAAGCGTATTGCGGCATAAGACTACTGGAAAACTGATCATAACGTGTATTGCGATCATCAGCTTTGCAGTAGTCTTTGAACTTCTCGTTTTTTGTCAGATAGAAAAGCGAGTGAATTGGTCAAATACCCTCTGTGTCCTCTCCTTACCTTACGTTGTAGTTCCTCCATATCCTGGTCTCCTCACCAGTGTCAGATAAAAAAGCGAGTGAATTCGTTTAAGGAGAAACTAGAAAGTCAACAACACAACTTGGCCGGTCCAAAGGCACATGGTTTAATGAAATGCGGGGGTTAGGGCCCCTGAAACTATATTAGACTCCAGTCCGTGACGTGACGTGACGAGAAAACGATATCGAGGTTCTACTTACAATACAAAAACTGAATCCTTATCCGTGTAAACGACGTTAAAAAATGTCACTTGGTCTAGCTTCAAGAATAAAGTACCAAATCTGACTTTTGACCTTTTTGGTTCTTAATATTTTCTTTTCTTGAGATCCAACGTTGCAACCAGCAGGATCATCGTCCACGGTTTTTGCGGTTATTTTCTTCCTAGCTTCCTATCCTAGTTTCAAACCGAGACGGACTGGGTATGAGTCGGTTTGTTATGGGATAAACAACACGAGACCCGCGTAGTGGAAAGAGCACTTTGAAGTTGCGAAAAACCTCAAGTTTGGTGTCGATCGAGCCAATATTGAACAAGATATAGCTATTTAAAAACTGTATATTTCTCACTAAATGAATTTAACTGATCATGAATGGCTGTATCTCGTTCAGTTATATAGGCCCTATAAACACCAAACTTAAGAATGTTGCAAATTTCAACGCGCTCTTTCTCGTGTTGTTTATCCCATAATGAATGGACTCGTAACCAGCCCCTCCGGGTTTGAAACTAGGCAATAGCGGAGCTTACTACAGCGCGAAGCGGTTCAGCATGGGAAATACAATTTGGTCACCTATGCATCTAAGAAATTTTGGTTGTGACAAAATCGTCCGTCCGTACGTACGTCGACCGTACGTCCGCCCATCAGGCCAGCGGATGTGAAATGTCACACTTACTAGCTTACAAGGCATAAATGTATACAATCCGTTGTTAACTTGATATTGGACATCTATTTTATGTTCAATTGACGACTGGATGTATCAAGGGCTCAGGCATGTACAACTCACTGAAATACCGTGGTTTTTTTTTAAAGTTCTCTGTTGACCAGTTATTGGTTTCAGTTGATCGCAGGCCCAGGTCCATTTTTTCGAGAGGATCCCGTGTGGATACATTCCTCCCTGAACCCATTTAGCTTTTAGTTGAAGTTCCCGTATTTATTCGAATAAGCGAATAAGCGAATAAGCAACCTCGAATTAGCGCCCACCTCGAATAAGCGCCCATCCTAAAGGCAGAAAAAGTTAATAAGCGCCCAACCTCGAATAAACGGCATCACGTTCTTCTTGCAAAACTCGTTTCTAACCATTCTTATGCTAATTAGTCAAAAATTAGTCCAAAGAAGAGGAATTGGTGAAAAATGCGTTTTTTTCGCTACTCGCTGGCCGTCAACAAAGGGTTAAGTCGAAAGTTGATTGCGTCAGAAACATATTTCTTAAAATATCCCACGAGAGCTTCGGTTTTGGCCTTGGCTAAGTCTATACGTCATGTTTCAGAATAGAAAATTTTGTAAATGAGCTCCGCCCCTAAGGTGTAAAAATCTCTCAAAATTTACTTGGTGTCAGTTTTCTCACTTGCAGCCACGGCGGGTTGTTTTCAAGTTTTGATAAAGACCTGTAAGCTATTATCAATCCACGCTGCTAGAAAGAGCACCTAAAAATTAGCAAACTTACCGAGTCAAAGAAGGCTTTTGAAAACTTGACATTGGTTTTTATATGAGAGTGTTTAATAACATTTAATATCAATTTCTTTAATGCAGGATTTCAATCGAGATACACCTCTATTCCGTCGAAGCCTACTTTTTCGCATGCTGGAAACGACGTGACATTTACATGGAGATATCACTTGACGCACTCCGACAGAGCTAATTTCAAGGTCGTTGTATTCGGAATATGGATGAATGGAGACATTTCAATTCCATTAGTGTCTGTTTTAAGGAATGGAAGTGCTATTTTTTATTCCAATCGTGTCTCATGGCTTGGGAACAAGACAATGGCCTCATTTAGACTACACAAAGTGTCCATTGATGATGATAGGGTGTATGGTTGTAAGCTGGATTTCGGGGCATTTGATGTACTGGATTCAGTGAGGCTTACTGTAATTGGTAAGAATGTCACCATTAATCTACCCCTGTTCATACCTTATATATATATATATATATATATATATATATATATATATATATTTATATATAATCCCCTCATTTGCGGGAAAATGATACACATTAAACCCCGTTGTCAATATGACAATCCTCTTTCCAAAATAAAAAAAAAACAAAAAAACGTGATTCACATTTTATCATACTGTTCTTAAGAATTATTTGTTATAAACTATGAAATCATAATTCCAGCTGTCTTGTGGAAACAGAACACGCAAGGTCTCTTTATTTGAGGTTCTATTATAAGTTCAGTCTTATCTTAACTTTTAACAACTGTCTTGTCCGTTTTTAGCCGCACCACAGATCAAAAAGAGCAAAAATCATCAGTTGGCACAGGTCAAAGTATCTGAAGGCCAGTCAGTTGTTATTCCTTGTAAAGTAACCGGAAATCCACCACCTTGGATCTCTTGGAGTCAAGACGGAAGAGTGCTTCAGAATAGTACTCGAAAACATGATTTATTGATAAACTCAGCTGAGGAACACATGACAGGACTGTATCGCTGTAGGGCTGAGAACGAGGCTGGTGTTGATAAATATGACGTGCTACTGCTTGTAATATCATGTGATCATCAGTCTGGTGATGTGGCATTTCATGCACAAGGTGAAGTATGTATAAAATGAATACAACTGAACCTGACTGTGTTACAATGGCTGCACTCACATCTGGGCTAGTAACTATAGTTAAGACGGGGATAACTATAGTTAGCTATTTCGGTAATGTGACCTCTTCTCGGTTCGCTCCAGCTATAGTTAGAAAATTTACGCCTCGGTGATCCAAAAACAATACAGACTAACTATAGTTATACCCAAGCAGGGTTCGCGGGTTAGTCTTAAGTTAACAAACAAACAACCAATCAGAATGTGACACTTCTTTTCGCTCGTGCGAGATGAGCATATATAAATACGCAAAATAAAAACCAAGCGTGAGGCGAGGGGCAAACCAAAAACAACAGACAAAAAATGTTCATAGGCTAATTGGAATTAACTGTTGTTAACTGCGTGTTGTGACCGCAATGTCGACCGAAAGCACTAACTACAGTTAGGTATGACATCACGTAACTTGACACTAACTTAAGTTAAACTTTAGTTACGTCGTAGATGTGAACGCAGCTAATGGTGCTTGCAATTGCTTGATGTGCTGTTCAATTTTATTTACATTTTTGACAATGAAATAACAAAACACAACTGTCCTTTCAGGATATGAAAAAAATAATGTTTAATATTTTAGATCCCATTCGAAAACAATTGATGGAACTTGGTTGAACATATGTTGTACAAAGTCAGTAACACATAGTTAATGATCGATCACCCAATTCTTTTGAGGTTTGGAAAAAAAAAAACAAAACCAGTTCCAGAGAATTTGATGGCATTGAATAGTCAGTAACTAAGTATACTGTTGTTGGTAGCTATGAGTCCTTTACCCCATCCCAGTTGCCTGAAATTTGATAATGATTGATTAAATGCAACTTGGCAGTAGATTTCGCGAGAAAAGAAAAACCGATTTGTTCATCTCATTTGTCAACTGCATATTCGCCACTTTTTAAACGAGAGGGGAACTGGAGCCGAAACGTGTCTTCTCAGCTATTGGTCAATTTTCCCCGTCCCTGGTAACAGTCCCAGAAGGCTTGGCAAACGTTTACTCGGCCCAGTTTCCTTCACGTTTCTAAGGTCGCGAATACTCAACGCATCTTACAACGCATCCTTGTCCCCAGAGCCTCCTGGGGGTCTGAGCACGAGGACCAGGACTTCCGGTCATTTCCGATTCAAAAGAAAGTTAGAGGATTCTCTTTTAACAGCTTTGAAGCACCTAAATTTACAGTCATTGACACTTCTGCAAGAGGAAGTGAACGCGAATAGAAACGTTGTAGAAAATCAGAAATGACCGGAAGTTCTAAAATCCAGGACTTCAAATCATGTGTCACCAGAGCCTCCCGGTCCTCTCGCTCAGTCCCCCCGGAAGCTCTGGGGGACGAGAATGTACTTAACGTTGCTAGTCTACTAAAAAAAATCAAGAACTTGTACACAGACTGCGCTGAAATGGGAGCAAAAATTACTCGTTTTTAACGGCCGTTAAAGGTAGGTTTACCTCGACCCTAACTCGTAATTACTCGTGCTTGTAATTTTTACATTGCATGATGAAGTAGCAGAAGGTTTCCTTTCCACTAGATTTTATGAGTTGAACGAATACACTTACTTTTAACTAACAGAAAGTAATTCTTCTTTCTTAGAAAACAAGGCTAAAACACAGCATAACTTGGACGGCTTGTCTAAGTTTCATGCCCAGGCCACCTTAGCTTCTACTCTGGTTGTCGTCTTTGCCTTGTTTGTCATCTTCGGAGCATATTTCTTTTTCCGATATACAGGAGCTAGAAACAAGAGACCCAGGTAAGGACCACGTTGAAAGAAGCACAAGACTAGAACGTGAATAAATGTTTATTTTATTATTGGCAGTTTAGACACAAATTTATTGTAAAATATTCTTTTTCACTGTGTGGTTTATCAACATTGCAAGGACTATGCAACGCCATTACGAATTCGGTGATTTCTTTTGTGGACTACTGAATAGCAAATACAGGCATCTCCCTCCTAACCCAAACCTTTCACGATAAAACGGACACCGCCTAAGACGGACATCTCACTAGTGATGGTCCCCCCTTCCTTCAGTCTTTCCATGAACTCTTTACAAGGAGGCCGGCACCCTGTCACAAGCTACAGTAAGACGGTGCCGGTGCCAAAAGTGTCTATCATAGCGAGCGTTTTGACTGTTGTCGCCATCAGTATATTAGTCGTCAAAAAAGCTTTGGCCTTAGCCTATTTATTTTGTAAGGGCCTAGTCGAATTGTTTTACGTTGGAAACCCGCATGCCAAAAAACAAACAAACAAACAAACAAACACAACAATATTTATAAAACCTGTTTTGTGAAGTGAAAGTCGAAAGTATCGTTACTGTTGTGATTTCAATTGTTTCGCAGGTCAGATGACGTCTTTACTCTCTTCTATCAAAATGTTTAGTGATGAACAAAACTAACAAATAGTCTACATTCCCTCTGCCATAAAGAAGAGACGAGCTATTTTCAAGTGGATAAACTCTTCTTAAAACAATAGACTCAATAAATTTGTTACAAATTTGTTATAAATTTCGTAAAAGCAAACTAAGATCATATAAACTACAATACCCTTTGGGTCTTTACTGGTTAACACGAGTGGCTGTGTCTTATTTTTTGATAAATGTATGGGAGGAGAAGTTGTCGTACGTTCAAAAGTAAACGCTTTCATACTTGCCTTACAGGAAGTACACCAAAATGCCTCAAGATGAGCAAGCTCGGAGTTTATTGGGAGAATGGTCAAGTTTTACTGATAATGGCGCAAAAATATAGTGGAAGCTGACTACGATGTGCAAAAGAAAATAACTACATTAAGTAGCTTTAAAAGTTACTTTGTAAAGGCATGGATTATTTTTAAGAGAGATTCTTCTAGTAAAAATGGTCTGCTATAAATTGTTCCGGCGTTAGCTGAAAACAATGTTGAGGCCAGTTTACATTTATTATGGTGCTATTTTCCGCCTGGTTGGATATGGCCGGTTTACAGCTGTCCACCCAAGAAGTATTACCCTGAATTCTAAAGCTACGACTTATCAGGCTTACCGTCCCAATGAAATAGGAAGACACAAATCGTTTCGGATGTCAGCTGACCGAACTCGTCACAGCGTGTTAACGGGGTAGAATGGGTTAAAAACGGAATCAACTGCATCGCAACTGTGGTTTATTTTGACCCTTGGAGACACTTAATTCTTATTTTGTCAAAGAGGTATTTCGACACAATAAACTACGGCAATAATTTTCTTTATTTATAACCGACAGCATGGATGATATTCAAAACGCACCAACAGAGTCTATTCTGATTCTGTGGAGGAACGAGAAATAGCCATATCGTAGCTTCGTATTATATAGTACAAGCCATAAACATAGATGAGCAATCACACCCAGCCAAAGTTTGGATGGCCTATTTTCTGAATAACACCGAACATAATTACTTAATAGCCACCTATAATTTCATAATCGTAGCTTAAGACATCAGGGGCTCAATCAGCTCCTAAACTGGTTAGCACCGCAGCTCTGCAAAGTATACATGTATATTTAACAGTGATTACAAAACGATCTTTAGTTTTCAGTGCCTTATTTCACTTGCGTATATGGTTGTGATGATATATTTTGTTATGACAGAGGCCTAGTTACTTAGTGTTTGCAGACGGATGCGATCACCATATGACGCAATACAAACTTGAAAAGACACTGAACAATAGCCATACCACAACACACAAGCCAACCAACAACAGTTTCCGCAACACCAACAAACACCCAAGAGGACGCCGAACTAGTGTTGCATTATTGATAAACCGATATCGCATCGCATGATGGCTAATGACGTGTGATTTATGTACCCTTGAATATAGGTTGTAATTAGGCCTAACGTTTATTAATGGAGATGTCTTTATTTGGAGTTGTTCTTCTCTTTATATTCCGTTGGGTTGTATATTTATCCATGTTTTACATCTATTAAGCCTCAAGAAAGATTAGTAAAAAATGCCCGCTTACAGCGTCCTTGCATGTAACCAATAATCACGTTTGTTACAAACCAAGGTAGTCTATTTGTATATCGCTTTTTTAAGTCAATAAAACCAGGCAGTTGATTCCCGCACCAAAGCAAAACCATAACGATTTTCTCCTTAAAAGCTGCCGTCACATATCATGTTGTATACGATTGAATATTGAATAATCAGCTTTATTTGTTGTAATAAAATTATAACTAATCTATAGCGTCTTTGGTCTTCTGTTTGAGAGATGGAGGGAAAAATAAACAAACAAACGAGGGGGAGAAGGGCAAACATGGTCAGTTAAGGAGGAAAATGAAGAAATGAGGAGGGAAAACAGAGGACAGGAGTAAGAAAAAGAGATCAGTGGGACAGGGAGGAATGAAAAGGCACCAATAAGCACTCGGAGTACTTTTTTCATTTAAGGGTCGAGGGGTCGAAGGGTGGGGGAGCGGGTGCTTATTCCGATTTTCTAATTTTGGCCTCACAATAACGTCTTCCAGTTGTCACAAACTGTAATACTAAACTAGATTGTTTCTGTATCTATGTTATCACTAGTCCTGTTTCTCTCAAATTACTTGGATGAAATTTCTCCACACTCTATCGTGTATTCAATGCTTTGAATTGGAATGGGGGGGGGGGGGGGGGGGAAGGTTGTGGTAGCCTCATGTGGGCTTCTGTCGTGTCCAATAATGTCGGGGCGCTTATTTGAAGTTGCGCTTTCTTAAAGGAGGGGGCTAACAAGTACATTCACGGTTTTACAAAGACGAGATAAAAATAAAAGGTAGAAATGGGATGAACTGACAAAGAGGGTTGAAGAGTCGGTAGGGAAGCGAAGGGAAAAGACACGTAAACTATGGAGGAAAAAATATCCGAACAAAAGAAAAGAGTGATGAGGAGTTCTGAAGTTGTCTGCGTGCAGACGTCTCCTAAGGAAAGTTCTGAAGAAAATTTAAAATTTCCATAAAAGAGAAGCCTGGTGGGAAACGTACGCCAAACTAGAGAGGCTAATAAAGAACAGTGGACATAAAAAAGCTAAGTGGTGTTAAAGACACCGATTTACGCGACGTATGACTCCTACAAAATAAGGAACTTCGTTGATTATTGTGGAATTTGTTTCAATGTCGCGATTATTTAGAAACATATTCTCCTCAAAAGAACGGGCCTTATATAACCATAGAGATGTAAGAAAGCTTATGAAGTAATAGAAAATAGGAATTGGAAGAAAAATTAAGTGAAATTATTTCGTTTCCTTCGCCGCCGTTAAGACTAACGGCGACACCACGGTAATCAGGCTTCGAAAGGTTTTGACTGGAACTCTCCGCAAGGGCAAACTGAGTACCTGGCCCATTTGTCTGAATGGTGGATAACACACTGTATATACCAGTATTCAGTGGATTACACAATCGGTTTTCTTAACGGGCTAATACGAAACTGCTGGACAAATAAATTATCCAGTGGATAGCGCTATCCAACATTTGAAGAACTGAGGCAAGATCTACTCTGTAGGAGAACAACCTTCGTAAAGGTAAATGAAAAAAAAAACAAAAACAAAAAACAGGGTGGCGGAAGAGACGCTTGAAATTGAAGTTTTTCCACAAAATCCATGGCATCAAAAGGCAATCAATTTTGATTTATTTTTGTCTGTCGGAAAAGGAAATCTGATCTGAAAAAGTGCAAGTAGGATATCGTTTTCGTGCAGTTAGTACTGTGTTAGAGTCAATTGCACCAATCAATTCGTCCGTCCATTAAAAGTAAGGTATTAACTACTTCATCTTTTTAATCTGGCCCCGGTAGTTCAAACGTTGGATAGCGCGACTATCCTCCGGATAAATCACTATTCAGCGGATAAGTATTAGGGAAACCAATTAGTTTATCCACCAAATAGAGATTTATACAGCGGACAGCGATATTCACCTTTTGAACAATTCGGCCCGTAAATGAGTTACTGCCGGCCAGTGCACCCGAAAATGAGTACTGGAAAGTCGTCTTTAAAACTTCGGTTCCTGGATATCAACTTGTACATCTTGAACCAAAAATTCTAGCTTGCAACGTAGATACACTAGCTAATTACGTTTTAAATACTCAATATTTAAATATAGTTATTATCTTACAACGCACCTAAAAACATAATTATTCAAAAACGTACTAAAAAACCCTACCTTTACTAACAAATTAGTGATCATAGCTTCCTTTCAAAGATTACTGTAAACAGGACAGACATTTGTAAATGACTCCAATAATTACGAAGGATATTATTTTGCGGTTTGGGCGGACATCGGCTAAATTAGTTTGAATAGACCCAAAGCGAAGTAGGAGGGTTTACACGTTATGCAAAATAGGAAGATCAACATTTAACACTCTTCCAAAGTAATGCTGAAATGTCCGAAATTTACACATTTTAAAGAAGTGTCATTGTAATACGTACAGTCGCCTGTGCAAAGAAATTAGTCAATTTTCTGTAATTGCTTAGTAAAACAATGTTCTTTTAAACAACAATAAACTTTTTCTGTCCAATAACTTAGTCCAAATATGTTACGGCGAGTCAGTGGACCGCTCAACACTCCTAGAAAATAAAGCATATGATTTACTATCTAATTATCTAATATTTTCTTTCACTCGTAACTTTCGCTCTGATTCATTTCTTCACAGCTCTAAGCGTGGCAGGTTTCTTTTGTTTATTCATTGTAGTCAGCATAAGGGAGATATATGACGTCAGCAAGTCGTCCATTTTGTACCCCTGAAAGAAGACGGTGACGCAAAAATTAAAAGGGCAAGGAAACCACACTCTAAATTAAATTCTTCGTCCACGAAAGTGGATCGTAGGTGATCATACAAAAATGAAATATTTTACAAAGACGGGTTGGTTTTAACAGGTACGGTGGGAAAAAAGCACAGCAATATTAACCCACCTATCTTTACCCTGTAAATCAGGCGATCTTTCAGTGGGGAGCGGGAAAGTTGGACAAAAAAGAGGAAGTAAGTCTTATTGCAGGGTTGACTGGACAGTCTAGGAGCGTCTGTAATTCCGTGGGAATTTTGTGAAAACAGCAAGCCATCTCTCTAGATGTGTTAATAGCAAGTAGTCGATAGAAATATACATATATAAATAATACACCTACTGAAGTGCAACTGACACAGCTACATGTAAGTACCTTGGAGGTTATGTATAACTGGCCACTTTACTACAGAAGCCTGGAAACAAGGCTGCATCATACAATTCCTTTGAGCATTTTTTTTTTAAACTAAGATATATTCCAATGACCTATGCAAACAATGAAACTGCAATTTCCTCACCACCAGGAACGTATTAAGTACAACAGAATATTAAATCTTACCAGTGACGTTTCACACAGAAGCCGGCTGCCTTTTACTAAGCTGCCAATAGTCATGTGGAAGTACGTGTTTCCGCTGCTCCAGTTAGAGATTTTAGTGAAGGGATATGTGGCCAGTATATCCTGCATAAACAAAAGTATACTTACGTCAAGGTTACTAAGTAACAAAATCGATGATAACAGAAAAACTACAGAAATGATACTCTTCCGCGTTTAATGCGTTTGACAAATCAGTTTTCACAAACAAGCAAAACCGTTTCAACAATGTATTCACCCAAAACAAAAAGGGAAGGTAGGGAGGAGGAGTATGTATGTTCGGCGAAAATAGCATGATACATTACATGGTATATGGTAAACAACAAATGACGAAGGAACAAAAATGTTCATTACAAATAAAGAAATCATGAACAAAAGTGCCGTGTTTAGGTTGCAGTTATTCTTTCCAAACATTTCGGGCCTGCAGGCCCTTCATCAGAGGAATTACCAGTTCGTTGAAACCGTTGCAAGGTTTATATACTCCATAAATTAGAAATAAAAATTAAAGGCTTTGTAGTGCACGCGCGGCTCTGCGCGCGGCCTAGAGGAAACGGAAGTCGGAGTTTAAACCGCGCGGCTAACTGGTGCCAAGTTGAAATATCAGTCGCATTTCCAGGCGCTTCCGTTGCGCGTTATCTACATCATTCCTCGAACCAAAGCGTCGTCGATTGAGTGACCATGGTTTATGGTATAGTATCCCTTATGGACTGATTTGTGTATGGACCTTCACCGCTTGGGACTTACAAAGAGGGCAGGACGGTTTAAGCTCTCCAATGGCCTGTTTAGGCCATTTCCCAGTTCCAACCATCACTTTACGGAGGCAACGCCCTTCATGTGATACTGATCAAAGTCTTCGCACTTAATAGCCTCTATCAAGGAAGGACGAAAGGCAACTCCAAAGTGGCCTATTGGGAATGGTGTTGTATCTTTCGAGAACAGGGGGTCCACTTAATCGAAGGCTGATTTGGCTAACCCAGGGTTTAATTTTCATCCGGGTTCCTGAGATTTTTGTTCAAAAGCATTTCCTCTATAAGTTTAACTGGTTGTTTTAGAACATGTTAATACCAGATTGTAAGCTAAAAGAGTTGACAAGAATTTGCATTATAATCATTCACATCTGAATTATCTCAGTCCCACTCAGGAGCCCGTTTCTCGAAAATCCTGCTATATTACTTGAATGAATTTACGGGTTCTCGCCATTGAACTCATCCATTATGTTTCTTTATCTGATGATTTTATTTTTTCATTTTCAAAACTCCTACTTTAAATGCCTCGAACACAACAAACAGCCTAACGGGCCTGGTAGTTACCGGGAGACTCCGGCGAGAAACGGCCGGCCCCTGGTCTGAAATAGGGCATGGTACTCAACTTTAACTGAATTTTTCGGGGGTACACCCCGTAAAAAAAACGCTTTAAAGAATGCCTTACCTTGCTTCCTGGGTTAATTAGGTTGACACCACTCTTGTTAATAGCTATCAAAAGACTCTCCGGGAAGTTTGGATCTGTACTTTGCTAAAAGACAAAGCGATACATACAAGTCCACAAACAGAGTAAAAATACACCAGTATGTAAGCTTTAGTTTAAGGGACTGGTCAAAAAGTATGGGGGGGTGTGGGCCGGAGCATTTGGAAATATGGTTGATAAAAAACACATGGCCCACCCCCTCCCTTCGGCACAAAAATGACTGACCCACCACTAACGCAAGGTTGCAAATTACATGACCCACCCCCTAGTTACAACATGGATGTTTGGTTTCCTCTTAATAATCCAATAAAACCTTGTTCTGTGTTTGACAAAATTTGTTGATACACTGCTGCAACCAATATCAAAATCACAGAAATCATACCTTTCACTGAAAAGTCAAATGTGAAAAAGTGAAAAACCGAACATTTCTTGTTTCGATGAACGTTATGAGTCTTGACACAAATATACAGCAAAACGAGGGTATATTGAAATTGTCTGTCACAAAGCATATGAAAATTTCTACAAAGACAACCCATTCCTACACATTACTTGCCGGAAATGCTTAGATTAATCCTCAAAGAAAAGTTCTTCCACTTCAATGGAAAGCACTACCTACAAAACCATGGAACTGCAATGGGCACAAAGACAGCAGTTTTGATTCCTTTGCCAATATTTTCATGACATATATTGAAACAACAACTCTAAGCAAAACTGTCTTTAGAACAACAGTCTCGAAATGTTACATACACAATATCTTTTCCCTATGGGACATGAGTAAACCAGACATCAAAGCCTTCCTAGAACAAGCAAACTTACATCACCCAACTATTGAATTCACGGCCGAAACATTTGACACTGAGACTGCGTTTTTAGACACGGTTGTATACAAATGCGCAAGATTCAAGGAAAAATCTATCCTTGATGCAAAGACACATTTTACACACACGGAAAGCTTCTTGCACACACATTTCACCTTGTGTCACCCTCCAAATGTTAAAAAAGGATTTGTCAAAGGAGAAGCCTTGAGAATCCTACGAAAAAACTCCTCGAAAACAACCTTTGAGGAAAATAATTCAAATTTAAAAAAAAAAAACGCTTGATGGACGGAGGCTACCCACAATCTTTGATAGAAAACCTTCTGTCAGAAATAAAATTCACAAAACGGAGTCTAAACTCCTAAGACAAAACAACAAGGAGGAAAAAGAAATATTGCCATTCCTGACAAAATACCAGCCCTCAGTGTCTACTATAAAGGAAGCTTGAATGAAAATATGGAATCATATACAAAACCAACTATAACTTCAATAAATTTTTAAAGAACCACCAATCATTCCCTTACAAAAAAGGAAAATCATTAAAGGACATATGCTCGTTAGAGCCAAAAAAAAAAAAAAAAGGTTAACAGAGGGTCCCACGTCCGTATAGATGTGCAGCCTGTCACCCTTTGTATTTTCTCGCTCAACAAGTTTGTGAGTATTTTAGCAAAAATGTAGCAATAAACTGGCTGTGTTTTTCATAACAAGTGTAGTCGACTGTCTCGTTAGTAGTTAGTGCCTATCTATGTAATAAAATAGGGTGACCCACCCCCTAAGGGTAGCTGAAAATTGCCCGACCCACCCCTTGCACAAGGCTCAAAACCTCATGACCCACCCCCTCTCTGCTCCGGCCCACCCCCACCTATACTTTTTGACCAGTCCCTAAACGACCATCAATTTACAGAAAAAAGTACTCTGTACCTTGACTTCGAAGAAGGCAGACCCAAATGTCGGCCACCTGTAAATCATTCTTAAGAAAGAAATCTTTGCATCGTTCTTTGATTTGCCTGCGTGTTTATTAAAAGCTGCGACTATGGCCTGATTGAAAAAAAAAAAAGAGAATAATCAATCGATGGACACTGACACTCTTCGATGAAATGCATGTGTTTGTATTAACAACTCACTCTCTTCCAGTCATCTGAAGACTGTTCTTTACTCAGGTCAGGTGGAATCAAGTCACGTAACATTTTTCTGTCAATAAAACGGGTTTGAAAAAGATAATAAAGGAATTTTACTTTTTTAAAGGAGGGTCCACAAGCGACGAAATGACCCCCAAAAAAACACAAGCAGAAAAAAAACCAACAAAAAACACTAAAAAATACAATAAAGGAAGAAGTGTAACTTAAAAAGAAATTCTCACGGTATGCTGGGAAATTCTTTCTTATCTTCGCCAAAGCGCACTCTGTAAATGAGAGCCGCTAACTGACTTGCCTCTTCTTTGGTACATTTATGATAACCTCGTAAGTATTTTGGTAACTCCTGAAAAGAACAAACGAAAGCGCATAGGATCACGTAAACACAGTCAAATGTAATACAAAATAACGCCCGATCATATTTATTGAATGAGGCTGAGTATGATGTAGAGAATTATGCAGATCGAGAAGAACGTTATCGGCTGAGGTGGATAACAGCCTCCGAGAGGTGCATAATCCCTTACATCATACTCAGTTCTTATGGCCTATTCCTCGGCAAGGTTTCAGGGTATAAACAGATGT